CACGAAGGAGTCGACCTATTTCATACATATTTTATAATTACATTCTGTGTAGGTTTAAAAATTGTATTTCAACGTCATTTATGAATTTGGCTCTTCAAACAAGTAACGAATGTGGCAGCAAACAGACATTATTTAATACATTGTTTATTCTTTACATTAGACATTATTTACAAATTTACAAATTACTACTAAATAATTTACAATATTGATTTACAAATTGCTGAATCATTTCTTTTATTATGAGTATAGTATGTGTTTATTAAACAGTTAAATTTCATACTGAAATAGCTGAAAATTAAGAAGAAAGCTATTTTTAATTTTCGTAAATCATGAAATTCGTTGCATATTTCCGCGGGGAATCTAGAAAAAATTATTTTAAAGATTCGTTATTGCCATTCGTAGCAACATACAATTGCTTAATAAAAAAATCTCACGTAACGCTCGTAGCCCGTGATTTTCATTTTTCATTACCTTTCACTAAATTGTACCGTTATTTGCACGTACGCATATGTATCGAAGTGAAAAGTTTCGCTAGGTTTTGTGCATTATCGTTGTCTTATTCATCTTCTCGCATCTTTCTTCTACATTTTTTATTTCATCCTTCAACAACCCTTATAGAGTCGGTGTCATAAATCAATGTGTTCTCTCCTCTCTCTCTCTCTCTCTCTCTCTCTCTCTCTCTCTCTTTCTTGCTCTTTGCTTTGGCGAGATACAAAAGGGCGAACACGGCAATTAAGGGTGTTTTGGAGTGGTTGCACTCGACTTGAACGCGACTGTCATGGTTCGGCAAAAGGGGTATTAAAAAGCATTACTCATCATATAATCGCACCGTTGCTGCATTGCTCATATAATATATCTGTTGTACATTCGTCCTTCTCGTAGCTTTTATGTCGAGAAGAATTCTCCTACAGCGTTAAATGTCGAGCGAAAAATGAGAAATGATTCAAATAGATAAAGACGGCAAGAGAGACAATTGCCTGTTTAAAATTCATGAATGATTTTACTATCCCGATTCTGAATACATACATACAAAGTTACACAAAAGACAAGTTGGCGAGAGAAACGACGAGTGCCCCAAATTTGCCGGGAATTTAATTCATACATCTCTTATTCTTTTAGCGTTTAATAATCCTAGCTTCTCCCCCCCCCCCACCCCCCC